ATATCAAGTACAGCATAAACTTCCACTCACTGCAAGGTTTGGCCCAGCTATTCTAGGCATCAGAATTTTGTGGTGCGCTGAGGTTAAGCTGAAAACTCTTTGGATTCCTCCTCCCAGCCCCCACCTACCCACCCCCAACTCCCCTGCCCTTGTGGAAAATCTTTCTACTATGTTTAAGTCCATTGTCTTCCCTTAGGAGCTGACTCTGGGGTCCAATCACTGTTTGCTAATGGGAGATCTCAAGGCTTCACCGTGATCACTCCCCGCCATGCAGAACTATAGGTGGAGAGGTGACAAGAGACTGGCTGAAGGTGGGCTGAACCCGGGATAGCCTTTTGTTTTCTTAAGCTAAATCTCGTATATGAGCTTGTTTTCTTGTTATTTGTCTCACTCTCCTAAAAGCTGAGCACAGCAGGAATAGGATAAAAAGGAGTTAATTAAGGGTACCAGTTAGTGGGGCCTGGGAACTCGAGGTTTGAAGGGACTGTGATTAGCATTCCTTGACTCTGTACCTTATTTCGAATATTGTATACCCTAGAGGACTACATAGTCCAGTCTGGGAACCACATGGTTGAATTAGTAGTTCCTGTTTCCTAGATAGGAAACCCTGGTGGTGTAGTGGTTAAGAACTACGGCTGCTAACCGAAAGGTCAGCAGTTCGAATCCACCAGGTGCTCCTTGGAAACCCTGTGGGGCAGTTCTAGTCTGTACTATAGGGTCGCTATGAATCGGAATCAACTTGATGGCAACGGGTTTGGATTGGTTTTTGGTATTTCCTAGACAGAGATAGTTTTCTTTGAGGGCTGCTTGGCTGCCTTTTGAAATGACCCGAGTGAGCACAGCCCTCTTAGAAAATTCAATGGACAGACAGTTGGACAGTTTGGCTATTCTGGTCTCCCTCCACCCCCGCCACTGCTGCTCTCCTGGCCTTGAGTGTCAGAAATGCTGGCACCCTAGGGCCACTTCTCCTGCCCCTGCCTCTGTTTTCTTCCTTGCTCTTCTGGCAGCTTCATCCCATCCCCCAACTGCCTCCATTCATTCATTCCAGCCCCCACTCATTCAATAAGCATCCCTCCCAACCTACCCCCTGCCTCACTGTTAAGTGTAGTAGGAACAAACTTGGTCTCTAGGTCAGGAAGACCCGGGCCGGAGTCCCAGCTTGGCAGTTTATTAGCTGTGCTACCATGGGCAAGTTAGCCTTTCTAAACCTCGGTTTCTTCATCTGTAAAATGATGGTGACAGTGCCCACACTGTAAGTTTGTGGCGCGGCCAGCACAATGCTTGAGCCTGAGCTGATGCTCAGTTAATGGTAGCTGTTGTTCTCAACGAGGATCAAACTCAGCTTACTTTTTCACTGAAGTATAATTAACATGGAGTCTCCAGGTAGTGCAATCGGTTATGCACTCGACTGCTAACCAAAAGGTTGGAGGTTTGAGTCCACCCAGAGGCACCTTGGAAGAAAGGCCTGGTGATCTACTTCCAAAAATTCAGCCATTGAAAACCCTGTGGAGCACAGTTCTACTCAACTCAACAGCAACTGGTTTTTTTGCTTGTTTTTTTTTTTTATTATTTTCAATGGGTCTCAAACTCAGCTTACTTTTTCATTGAAGTATAATTAACATGGAGTCTCTGGGTGGTGCAAACGGTTAAGCACTTGACTGCTAACTAAAAGGTTAGAGGTTTGAGTTCACCCAAAGGTACGGTGGAAGAAAGGCCTGGCAATCTACATCTGGAAAATCAGCCATTAAAAACTCTATGGAGTATAGTTTTACTCTGATGCACATGGGGTCGCCGTGAGTCGGAATCAACTCAATGGCATCTGGTTAACTGGTCTCCGTATAAGGGAGTCTCTGTTGAAGGAGTCGATTTTCTTCTGTACTGTGTCCTGTTTCCCTGGCAGTGTTCCACTCCCCCTCACTCCCACTAGCCCAACTTATTTCTCTCTCTCCTTTTCTTCTCATCATCTCCCTTGGAATCTTGAGGTGAGTAGCAATTGTTAGTTTGGGAAAAACGTACAAGCTAATGAAAGGTCACTTCAGAGACTTCCTGGACCAAGAAAGCTCTTATGTGTCATAGAGGACAGATTAATATATTAGGGAATTCCAGTATCAATATCAGTTAAGCTCCTGATTTAAGAAGCTCTTTTTCTCAGCTAATGTTCTGACTAGAACACACTGCTTACTTCCAACACCATGTTCAGAGCGTTTGTGACCGAAACGTTAACAGAATGTCCTGAGATTGGGATCATCTCCCACTAGAAAAACCCATGCTAGACCAGTGCGGTAGGTTTGCTTGGATAGTTCGAATTGTCAGCCCTTTGTAAATAGAATGGTTGTTGTGCGTGTGTTACCATCAATTGGATTCAATGGGAATCCCAAGTCATAGTGAAAAATGTTGGCTGCTCAGTGGCATAACTGCACTGGCAACCTTGAGAAAATCAAGGCCTTCATACTGGGCTTGGCTCGGGCCTTGGCCAGGGTGTCAGTGCCAGGCACCTGGTTAGGAGAAACATCCCGAAGCAAATAATAATTACCTTGCATGATGATAAGAGGCCCCAGTACTTTCCCAATAGCATGATTGAATTGGGGTATTTCTTTAGACCACAGCCTGTGGAGCACTGATTCATAGGTACTGGCCTTAGATTCATCCAAACTATTGTATATGTGGTGGAACTCAGTGTTCTTCTTATGGCCCTGGGTTGGTGTAAATAATACTCCTAGTTGCATCACCTGTCTGTCCCCTTGTCCTGCCCAGGTTGCTCCTTCTGGCTGCAATTCTGCTTTTGTCCACTAGGTGGCCTCATTTAGGAAGGCGCGGGAGAAAAGGACCTTAAGCCTCATGCGTTTTTCGTTTTTTGTTTTTAAGCCTGAGGCTGAAAAAGAATGAAAAAATATTTTTGATGGCAACATATGTAACTCTTATTAGGAAACACTAATCTTTTTATGTTCCTTGTGCTTTGGAATCTTTTTGTTTTTGTTTTTTTTTTTTCCCCTGAAGGACCGACCCTCCCATGATGCGGCTGGACCCGGTCACGGGGCAGGTGTTTTCTTGGGATGGTTTATATATAACCTTGGTTTGTAGTTTTGTTGTAATTTGCTGTTTATATGAAAGTAACAAAATCTTAAAAAGAAAAATATAGACAGGAGACCCTGGATGGTGTCAAATGTATTTTCTTTTGCAGAGTAGGCTGTGGAGACCAGGCTGGTATATTGTGGTCACTCCAGTGCCCACTACCCTACCCTGCCTCCTTCCCACCTCCTCTAGCGCCCACCTAGCCCCAGCTGCTCCCATCTGCATGTTCACTCACTCATCTGAGTTCCTGGACACCCTCTCCTCCATACACATACATGCACAGATTAGCTCCTGAGCTAATAAAAGGAGGAGGGGAGTGGATTGGTGCAGGGGGTTGAGGCAGGCTGGTGAGCCAGCTGGCTGGGTGAGGAGACAGCTGAATGGGTGGGAGAGTGAACACGTAGGTGACAAAGTTTGCGTGCAGGAGAGAGGCTGAGAGGGCAGGCAGTGAGAAGAAGGTGAGGCTCCCGACGGTGAAGGTGGGTGACTAGGGAGTGTTCAAGCCATCGGGGTATGCTGGCTGCCACCTCAGGAAGAGCTTTGAAAACTCGTCCCAGCGCCGCCCTCTACTGAATGTTTCTATCTCCTGTTATGGCATTTGTGCTTCTTATTTCTCTAGAAATCAGCAATCTCTTAGGTTCAGCTCCAGTTTGGTTTTTACCAAGCTCCAGAGCCCTCTTTGGAGATTCCAGCTGGCACAAGAAACTGCTGAACTGTTTACAGTTCCAGCCGAAGGTTCAGGGAGGGGATGTGGTTTAACTGGGCTGCAAAGCCCGGTACAGGACTCATTTGCATGGCCCCTGACGCCATGTGACGCAGCCGGCTCCTCCTATATAAAGAAGCAGGAGCCGAAATATCTTCGAGTCTGGGTTGGACTGGCGGCCGTGGAGTTTGTGATACATTAGGTGACACCCCTCGGGTCACTTCCCCTTCAACTCCAGCTGGAGCGCCTGCCAGACTTCGGGTCAGCTCGGCAGCCTGCGCCCCACTCCTAGCCCCAGGCCGGCCGCGCAGAGCCCTGCCCGGTGCAGCACGCCCACAGCCGCAGCCGCCCAGCCCGGCCCGTAGCTGGTCCAGAGCTCCCTGGCAGTCCGAACCATGAACACTGAAATGTATCAGACACCCATGGAGGTGGCGGTCTATCAGCTGCGCAATTTCTCCATCTCCTTCTTCTCGTCACTGCTTGGAGGGGATGTGGTTTCGGTTAAGCTGGATAACAGGTAATCACTGGCCCCAGCCCTGCTCCAAGCCGAGCCGGGTGCAGGCGGCGGCTGGCCTCCAGCCGGATCTCCGAGCCAGCGTGGTGCTGCTGGTCCCCGCTCCCCCGCGGTGCAGCATCCTGGGAAGGGGCGGGGGCAGGGGACGCAGCGGGGGGTGGGGGTGTCCCCGCTGCGCTGGGATCCGCCGTCGGAGCGTCCCTGCGGCCGCTGCGCCCTGAGAAGGAGTTGCTGCAGCCGCAGAGGCAGCCGCAGCAGAGGGGCGGCGGGGCCGGGCAGGACAGGGCTGGGCAGGGTGCTGGCCACGCGCCGCGCGCAGCTGGGGAGGCCAGGCCGGAAGCTTCCGAGCCGTGCAGGAATTCTTAGCTAGCTTCGGAGCCAGGTATGTTTGCCCGGGATGTTCTGGGTTGGGCCGGCTGCAGAGACAACGGGCTGCTCGCCCCCCATTGTTTGCACATCGCCCGGGCCGGCGAGCAGGCCGCGCTGGCCCGAGCCACCCTGGGGCCCCGCGCGCCGCTCCAGCCTAGGTGGGGAGGTGCAGCTTCCTGCAGGGGCCAGGAAGGGACCTAGGGACAAACTGACCAGCACTCTGGGTCAGGAAGGCAGGAGGGAGGTAGAGCCAGGGTAGATAGAGGACTTTGGCCACAGCTGCCAGGTACTCAGAGTGGAAATGAGTGGGTAACGTGGTCGCTTTGCTTTTTGTCTTGGCAGTGCTTCCGGAGCCAGCGTGGTGGCCCTAGACAACAAGATCGAGCAGGCCATGGTGAGTGGCCTCACTGCGTCATTCCCATCCCCAGAGCTAGCTGCTGCTTATGTAACTTGGGGCAGGACCGAGGGAGGTGGGCACAAGAGCTTGAGAAGTCCACAGCCCTCTTCCCATCCCCTCTGAAGTGCAGTCTGCCTAGCTTGGCATCTTTGAGGGCATTTCCAGTCTGCCCTTGCCGGTCTCCCCTTTCCCCTTCCTCCCTCCCCATCCCAGGGCTTTGCAGCAGCCTCTGGCTTCCCTCCTGGGCCCGAAGCGGGAAGCGGGGGGCCGGGCCGGAGCATCCCGCAGTTGGCAGCGGGGAGAGCTCATTGGATGCAACCGCACTGCAGTGCCTCTGCAGAGCCTGGGCTGGGGTCAAGAGGTGGGGGAGGAAACAGGAAGCAGAGCACCCCATCCCTTCTGCCTCTCTACCAGGTAGATGACGACGGACTCCACCCAGCTGTCAACATGACTAGGGGTTTGGGGCTTCCAGCAGTCAGCAGCCACTTAATTGTGCCCTGGAGCCTACTGACACAGTTCCCTGCCCCCAGTGCACTTGTAGCATTCAGAGAGGATGCAGCCACACCCAGGCCTTCCCCCAGGCCAGCGTCCTGTCTGGCCTTGCTGCAAGACAGCTGCAGACTCAATGTGCTGGGTCAGGAGGAAGGGATGAAACTCCAAAAGCCCATTTTATTCTCTTGGTGAAGGTTTGTAAAGCAGACAGTATGAGGTGCACTGCAGGTCCTCTGTGGGATCTGGGCCAGCCTCAGAACTTGATGTTGAAATGGGGACATAGCAAACCACCAACAACCCGCAGCAGTCTCACCCCAAAGGCCCTTAAGCAGCAGCCAGCTTTGAAAGCCATCACAAACATTGGTGAGAGGAGCTTGTCTAGTTTAAAGCTGTCCCACCTCAGGCATGTCCCAAAGCATCTAACTCTCCTGAGTGAGGATTTAAGTGCTTCAGAGAAAGATGCGTGAGGAATAGGACTGGTGGGCCAGTGTGCTGAAGAGCTGTCAAGGGAAGGCTAGAGGGCGTCAATATGAGGGACCTGGTGGGCACACCGGTGGCAGAGTGAAGGTGCTGCGGAGTGGTTGTGACTGGCTAACGAATGGCTTGGTTGTTGTTCTTTCCTCTGTGGCAGGATCTGGTGAAGAATCATCTGATGTATGCTGTAAGAGAGGAGGTGGAGATTCTGAAGGAGCAGATCCGAGAGCTGGTGGAGAAGAACTCCCAGCTGGAGCGTGAGAACACCCTCTTGAAGACCCTGGCGAGCCCAGAGCAGCTGGAGAAGTTCCAGTCGCGTCTGAGCCCAGAAGAGCCGGCTCCTGAGTCCCCACAAGCGCCGGAGGCCCCCGGTGGTTCTGCGGTGTAAGTGGCTCTGTCCTCGTGGTGGGCAGAGCCACTAAACTTGTTCTACCTAGTTCTTTCCAGTTTGTTTTTGGCTCCCCAAGCGTCATCTCACGTGGAGAACTTTACACCTAGCATAGCTGGTGCCAAGAGATGTCCCAAGGACATGGCCACCTGGGTCCACTCCAGTGACAGACCCCTGACAAAGAGCAGGTCTCTGGAGGCTGAGTTGCATGGGGCTTAGTCACTCCAAGCCAGTGAGCCTCTAATGCCGCTGCACCCTAGGAGATCCCGGGGCTTGCACAACTTAGCTGCAGCTGGCAAAGGAGAAAGGTAGTTCGAGATGGGATGCCAGTTTGCTCCAGAAAGTATAAGGGGTCTGTTTTTCATTTCCATGGACATCTTCAACAGCTTCACTTGACGACTGTTCCTATGAAGAAGCCACTTGTGTTTTAAGCAGAGGCAACCTCTCTCTTCTCCCCTGCCTTGCGAAGGCAGGGGGAACAGACAGGAGAGATCGAGCCAAATCAGCCTTCTGTTGGTTAATATGGTATAATGCATGGCTTTGTGCACAGCCCAGTGTGGGATTACAGCTTTGGGATGACCGCTTACAAAGTTCTGTTTGGTTAGTATTGGCATAGTTTTTCTATATAGCCATAAATGCGTATATATACCCATAGGGCTAGATCTATATCTTAGTGTAGTGATGTATTCATATACACATACACCTACGTGTTGAAGGGCCTAACCAGCTTTGGGAGCGTTGACTGGTCCCTTGTCTCTTAAGGCTAATTGTTTGACTGTGTTCATTTACCAAGTTGGTCCAGTTTGTCCTCTAGGTTAGGTAAGCCAAAAACGTAAAGGCAGGGAAGGGGACCAGCCTCGGAATGCGGCCACGGATGCCTTGCTGCTGCAACCTTTTCCCCGTCTGTCCGTTGGAGACGTGTGAGGTCCTCTTCTGAATGCCAAACCCACCATTCGCTGGTGCTGACTAAATAGAATGGGGTTGAGAGAAGATTAGCTTGGACTTCACAGTGCCGTTTAAAAACTGGTTTTTGTTATTATTATTATTATTATTGTTATTACTGTTGTGGAAAACTTTCAAGTGAACAATTAACTTGATGGCGTCCTGTTGTGGACGAGGGAATGGCTTTGACTTGACGGTGCCTGGGTGATGTACTCAAGGAGCTTGTCTCTGGCGGGTTCTGTGGCAGTGAACACCTTCTACTTCTGACACCTTATCCTGATGTCTGTCTCCAGGATCTGGATTTGGATTTTTCCAGATGTAGCTTGAAGTTTCAATAAACTTTGCTCTCTTTTTTTCTAAAAATAAAATTGGAGCCTGACTGAGTGTAAATGGACTGGGCAGTAGGGGCCCCGCACGGGGTGGTGGTGGTAGTAGCAGGGGCGACTGTTGGTTTTACTAACTGAACACCTATCGACCACCCACTGAGTACCAATCCTATGCTCCATCCATGCTTTTGTTTAACTTTCACAGTACCCGTATGAAGTAATGCTCTTTTCACCTCATTGTATGATAAGGAAGCTGAGACTCAGCAAGTTTAAGTAACTTGCCCAGAGTCACACAGCTGTTGTAGCCAAATGGGGTTCAAACCCATGTCTGTCCTGCTCTGGCCTGCTCCTGCTTTCATATGAGAGCTTCGGAGTAGGGTGGCAAGGTGACTATCAACATGCAACCTCAGTTTGAGGGGGTGATTTGGGAGGGGGAATATCCCAAGAAGGCCCAAAAGAAAAGGACAGAATATACATGTGAGGGAGCAAGGAGGAAGCCAAATAAACGTGAGTGGGCCTCTTCCCTCTTCTGAAGACATCATCAGAATCATTTAATGCATTCTCCTAACACCAATCCTCATGTGACCCTTAACCTTGGCAAAGGAGCTAAGAGAGCCTTAGGAAAGGATGTAGACCATCTGAAGTAGTAAAAAGCCGATTCTCCACTGCCCCTCCACCCAGGAAAACTGCTCTCAATCCCTGCTACTCCACTTATCACAAAACCCACCAGCCTCATGGGCAGGGCCAATTCCAAGGGTCCTGACTCCAGCTCCCCTGCTCTGATTCTATTTAGGGTTCATTATCACCAATCACTCTTTCCCAGCCACATGTCTTTGGCACCTGGGGTCCTGCCCAGTTCTCTGATACTCTGTCTAATGATTATTCAGTGTCTCCTCTACCACACCCCTACTGGGACCCACCCAGAACCAAGAACTGTGTCTAAGCCCACTGTGTTCCCCACAAGGGAGACTATCTCCATTCAATCTGAGCTTTCTCTAGCATATATAATTATCCGTTTGCCACTTGAAATTTAACAGAACTCCATTTTCCTGAGCCACAAACCTCAAGGTGACCAAGATGTCTTGGCTTCTTCCCTTGCTCCAAGCACTGCCCGAATAGAATCAAAATGACATGCTTCCTTCTCTGTAAAGGTCATCCACGGTGGCCTGTTCTTTTTTAATCACCAAAACTCTATTCAGAGTGTTTCAAAACCCTGCTCGCTAGCCTCTCAAATTCCAATTTTCCCACCAGCTCCTAACCTCTCTACTCATGCTGCCAAATTCATTGCTTACACTTGCCAATTTGGTCATGGCATGTGGTGGTTTCACTGCTGCTGGAACAAATACAGACTTCAGACTAGAATGTTCAAAGCCTCCCCGGGCAGCCATCCCCCACCTTGACCCAGCTCTCTAAAGTCCCCGCTTATTCCCAAACCCCTCACCCTTTCCAAACAAGTTGAAGGACCTTTTGACTATTCAGCTCATCTTCTGTAGACTTCCCACACCCAATTTCTAGCCAAACAAGGACCAACAGATGAAAAAGGAAACCCAGAAAAGAGTCAAGCAACAGCCAAACCTCTCTGGTCATCAAGTCCTTTCCTACAAGAAAGGGGAAAAAACTTGCCCCACAGTCACACAGTGGTAAAAAGAGAACAGCTTCGTTTCCTAGGCAACCCTGACTAAACAGAGACAAACATTGCAACTTCTGAGGCCACAGCGGTTACTAGACTTAGATAAGAGGAACTTCGTGGATGTTTGTTAGGAGTGGCTTTGTTGTTGTTGTTCCACTGAAAACCAGCTAGGGGTGGGGAAAGGCAAATGAACATATTGGTCCTGGGAAGATTCACAGACTTTGAGGTTCTGGGCTCAGGGGATTCAGCTGGACCCAGAACAAGAAAAAGAACAAGAACAGCAGCGGCACAAGCAGCGGTGATGTGCTGAGAGGACTATAGTGAGACTCAGATGAGATAACAGATAGAGAAGCACAGGCCGAGGGGTTATCACTGCTGCTTGTGCTGCTGCTGCTTCTCTGTTATCTGAGTCTCACTATAGTCCTCTCAGCACATCAACACGGTTCACAAGGGAACCCCCCTCATGAATGCAGAACATTCTGTTTCACGCCCTTAGGAAAAGAAGCAGTTATTATTTACTTCCATTTGACAGACAAGAAAACTGAGAGCCAGAGAGCTCTGTGCTACCCCCATGCCTCCCACGTAGCCCATGGGGTATTGGTTCTCAGCGTTTGTGACAATAAGGGCCCCTTTTAAATGTCAAAACTATTCTCTGACCACCCCCACGACAGTAGTTGAACTTTTAGTGTTCATTGAAAGAGAGCACATAACGACAAACAGTGACTGTGAATTCCACAGGGCTTTTTAAAGGAATTTATTGTGTTCACCATAAAAGCATAGACACGGATTTGAAAACTAGAACAGAAATGTGGGAGATGCATTCCTTACAGACAAGGACTGCTTGGGATGCAAGGTTGGAGGCTTACAGGCTGGGAACCACCCCAGAGGAAGGTGCACCCAGGAAGGCTCTGAGAATGAATCCAGGGAGTGAGCAATCAGGAGGCAGGGCCACTCGGACCTGGGGTGTAGGGAGAAGGACTCCAGAAAGACTATAGGAAAGGGGTCCCCAAGAAAGGCTCATGACTCACTGCCCCTTAAGATATTTTGAAGTTGTCCTAACAGCATCCTACTTATCCTGGAAAAACCTTGCTTTCAAATCTACTTAGTCTCCCCTCCTCTCCTCCTAGTTGGTTAGAAATTAATGGACATAGTTAGAGCTTTGCAAACAGCCCAGTTTCTCAGGTTGTCTCATGCAGAGAAACTCTTGAAACCCAAATACTTAACCATCTCTGCTAGGTCAGGAAAGGTTTGACAGAGAACATCATCAGTTAGCTATTGCAAGCAGAAGTGGTTTCCAGGGAAGAGCTGGCTGAAAGGGGCTATACTAACAATAATTAATAGTAGCTCACACTTACATGACACTTACTTTATGCCAGACACTATTCAAAGCCCTTTTATATCTGTTAATTCTTTTAATCCTGTCCACAAACCTATGAAGTATGTTCTAGTAATATTCCTATTTTACGGATGAGAAAACTAAGGCATAGAGAGGTTAAGCAACTTGCCCAAAGTTGCATAGCTGGTGAATAGCAGAGCCAGGATGGGGAGGGAGCAGATGCATTGAGAAACAGGATGGAGAATCTAAACAGTTTTCATAACTCCTCCTATGTAACCAGAGGAGCCCTGGTGATGCAGTGGTCAAGAGCTCGACTGCTAACCAAAAACTCAGCGGTTCAAATCCACCAGCCATTCCTTGGAAACCCTATGGGGCAGTTCTACTCTGTCTTATAGTCGGAATCAGCTCGACAGCAACGGGGTTTTTTGTTTTTTGTTTTTTTTTATGTGACCAAAAGTGTTCCAGGGGAAGGAGTAGGAAGGAGACCACCCTCAAAATAGCAGAGGGTCTAACATTTAGTTTAAAAATGACCAATGAGCCTGGAGGGATGAGAGTTAACAGTGAAATATATTGAGATAGGATCTAGTAGGTCTGAGGGAGCCATGGTAGGCTTCTGAGCAGGGAAGTGATGTGATTAAAAAAAAAAAAAAAGATATTTGTAGAAGATGAGTGCTGGCAGCTGGGGAAGCTGGGATAGGGAAAGGCTAGCAGCAGGCAGGCCAGCTGTTGCTGTACTCCAGGTGTGAGGTGATGAGGGCCACCAGGGGCAGGGATACGGTTTGTGGCAAGAAGAGGAAGGGACAAAGCCAGAAGACACTGGAAGGTAGTGTTTCTTCGAGTGTGGTCTGCAATCCAACGTCAGACTCACCTGGGTAGTTTGTTTAAAATGAAGATTCCAGGCCCCACCCCCAGACTAAAGAGCGGGCGGGGCTCAGGGATTGATAACTGTAACAAACCACCCGGTGATGGTGGAGTACACCAAAGTTTGAGGAACCTCTACTAAGTGAAAAATCAGCATGACCTGGTGACAAAGTGGGTTGGGGAGGAGAGAGCAGAGTAGTCATGAGTCAAGGATGACATGAAAATTCTCTGTCTAGGGGAGAATACGGAAACACTGCAAGAAGCTGAGGTGTAGGAAGAGGCTGCAGATTTTAAGAGGGAAAATGAGTTTCAATTTTGATGCGCTGCTTTCTGGCTGAGCTAAGTATACTTGTGTATGGAAAGATCCTGTAACCAGCTGTGGAAAGAGAAATGTGGTGAAAGCAAGGGCTGGGGCACTAGAGGTGGGCATGTGTACATGTCACAAGATCTGGAGCAATGTGAGTGGACGTGTGCCCCAAGGAAGTAGGTGCTGAGGAGGAAGAGCAGAGGCGAAGCAATGAGCCTTGGAGGCCAACCTCAGTGAGGGGGTGCAGGAGAGGAGGAAAGGCAGACTGAGGAGGTGTCAAAGAAAGAGGAAAGGAAAGTCCAAGGGAACACTGAGGTCTGGTAATCTCCTCTCCATTTTTACCTTTTTGTCTATTCTTTAAAGTCCTTACTACTAGCCCCATCTCGTTATGAAATAATTTTTTAAAAAATTGCCTTTGAGTCAATTCCAACTCATGGCGACCCCATGTGTGTGAGAGTAGAATTGTGCTCCATAGGGTTTTCAATAGCTGATTTTTCAGAAGTAGATCGCCAGGCCTTTCTTCTGAGGTGTCTCTGGGTGGACTCAAACCTCCAACCGTTCAGTTAACAGCTGAGCATGTTAACCGTTTGCACCATCCAAAGACTCCTATGAAATTAGATTAATCCCTAAAGATCACTTTGGAGGAGACTGAGGCAGCTGAGGTTATTACAGGCAGAGGGAGTCAGGAGTCCTGGGCTATAGTCTTAGTCTTTGTTTAGCAAGCTATATGACCTTGAGCAAGTCATTGGTGTCTTCAGACTTCAGTTTTCCAATCTGAAAAACAAGATGGTTACACAGGATCCTTTCGAAGCCATGCACATAATAAGCAGTAGGGTCAACAGGGGAACTCAGCACAACCGGACTAAACCAAAGCTAAGAAGCTTCCTGAATACA